AAACTGCCCCCGGGCACCAACCGTATGACAATTTACCTTCAAGATAGTTGTCGGAGGGGTGGTTGTCCGGGGGGGGGGGGTAGTTTTCCTAGGGGATAGTTGTCTGGGGGTAGTTGTCCGGGGGTAGTTGTCCTAGGGGAAAGTTGTAAGGGGGTAGGTGTCCTAGAACCACATATATGACACATGATTGATCAAGAAATGTACAAGTTGACACCTGCCCCCGGGCACCAACCGTATGACAATTCACCTTCAAGATAGTTGTCCGAGGGGTGGTTGTCCTAGAGGATGGTTGTCGTTTGGGGTAGTTATCTTGGGGGTAGTTGTCTGGGGGTAGTTGTCCTAGGGGGTAGTTGTCCTGGGGTAGTTGTTCTAGGGGATATTGTCTGGGGGTAGTTGTCCGGGGGGTAGGTGTCCTGGAACTACATACATGACACATGATTGATCAAGAAATTTACAACTTGACAACTGCCCCCGGGCTCCAACAGTATGACAATTCACCTTCAAGATAGTTGTCCGAGGGGTGGTTGTCCGGGGGGTAGTTGTCCTAGGGGATAGTTGTCCGGGGTAGTTTTCCGGGGGTAGTTGTCCTAGGGGATAGTTGTAAGGGGGTAGGTGTCCTAGAACCACATATATGACACATGATTGATCAAGAAATGTACAAATTGACACCATGCCCCCGGGCACCAACCGTATGACAATTCACCTTCAAGATAGTTGTCCGAGGGGTGGTTGTCCTAGAGGATGGTTGTCGTTTGGGGTAGGTGTCTTGGGGGTAGTTGTCTGGGGGGTAGTTGTCCTAGGGGGTAGTTCTCCTGGAGTGGTTGTTCTAGGGGATATTGTCTGGGGGTAGTTGTCCGGGGGGTAGGTGTCCTAGAACCACATACATGACACATGATTGATCAAGAAATTTACAACATGACAACTGCCCCCGGGCACCGACCGTATGACAATTCACCTTCAAGATAGTTGTCCGAGGGGTGGTTGTCCGGGGGTAGTTGTCCTAGGGGATAGTTGTCCGAGGGTATTTGTCCGGGGGTAGTTGTCCTTGAAGATAGTTGTAAGGGGGTAGGTGTCCTAGAACCACATATATGACACATGATTGATCAAAAAATGTACAACTTGACACCTGCCCCCGGGCACCAACCGTATGACAATTCGCCTTCAAGATAGTTGTCCGAGGGGTGGTTGTCCTAGAGGATGGTTGTCGTTTGGGGTAGTTGTCTTGGGGGTAGTTGTCTGGGGGTAGTTGTCCTAGGGGGTAGTTGTCCTGGGGTAGTTGTTCTAGGGGATATTGTCTGGGGGTAGTTGTCCGGGGGGTAGGTGTCCTAGAACCACATACATGACACATGATTGATCAAGAAATTTACAACTTGACAACTGCCCCCGGGCACCAACCGTATGACAATTCACCTTCAAGATAGTTGTCCGAGGGGTGGTTGTCCGGGGGGTAGTTGTCCTAGGGTATAGTTGTCTGGGGGTAGTTGTCCGGGGGTAGTTGTCCTTGGGGATAGTTGTAAGGGGGTAGGTGTCCTAGAACCACATAATTATATGACACATGATTGATCAAGAAATGTACAACTTGACACCTGCCCCCGGGCACCAACCGTATGACAATTTACCTTCAAGTTCATCTGTCTTTCATAAATCACATGTAATAAAATATAATCGTAACAGTACAAATGTATCGTATATATACACTGTATTCCATAGCAAAGTAAAGTAAAACAAAAAGAAAGACGAGGAGACCTTGGTTGAAGCACAGCTTGTTAAGTTAAGGCCCCTCAGATGATGTGACAAAGATAACTGATTCATGATTCATTCAATTAGCAGATGTACGAGATTTATTGTATTATTACCAACGCTCCTTCTCTCCCCTTTCCTTTTCTTCTCTGCAAGTCAGTCTTTTCTATTAGTATATATTATTGTTGTTGTATCTAAGTTGAGGGCTGCGGGCATGTCAAGCTATTTTGCTTATTTCTGTAGCCCTCCTGCATCTTATGTATGTTAATTATGCATTCATTATATTTGTTTAAATTCGTTTATTATCTGTATAAAATTATATACACTTAAAATATTGTATCAAACCATATTATGTTCATGAAAATGTATGATGAAAAAAAGATAAAAAGATACAGAAACCAATAAATCAAATCAAATCAAATGAAAACAAACAACAAATAATATATGGAATATATAAAGCTATTTAAAAAATTCACTCAGAAAAAAAAAACTAACAACAATGCATGGACCACAGCAAGGCGCTACTATACTGAGTAGTAGGTTCACGAGTCATGACCACAACAACTACTCGAAGATGCGCACATCCCCATCACATCAGGTGCTAACAAACTCACCGTGTGTGTGAACATAAGTGTCATATGAGCACTAACCACCCACCCATGGCAGCAATAACTTGCACAAGCCCAAGCTGACACCACATCGAAACATCAATTATTGCTCTCTGAGTGCAGAGGACAAGCACGAATTATGGTTTATGTACAGATGGGAAGAAATAAAAAGAAGAGGGATCAAAGGGATTATGTTAAGGTCGAGAAATAACGATAGATCGAGAGTAGAGTTAGGTATATCCTACAGTACACAACAAAAAGTACAATTATAAAGCTTGATAACACATTCACGTGCAATTCACATACTTGTCAAGTAAATGACTTAAGTCTACGTTTAAAAACTGAGATACTTGGAGCATTCGTTACAGTAGAATCAAGTGAATACCAGAACCTGGGACTAAGTGGACATTAGAGTATTCAGAGTGAATGTTGTCCTTGCATATGGTACATGGAGAGCAGAAGCCTGTCTAGTATTATGGCTGTGAATTAGGTTATTTCTTCTTAAAGGCCCACTGCACTACTGGTAGCTACTTGCGCCCTCTATATAACAAACAATGCCTAATCGGTGACCATTGGTCCCCCATGATCCTCTTTTTCTTATGTTAACTGAGAGCTGAGTTGATGAGATAACCACCTGGATTTGATCAAGCTAGGGCAGAAGGGTAGTCCCCAAAGTGAATGCTAAACATAAGCGTTCCAAGTTGCATTAAATAGAGATCATTTAGTTTTAGAATACTGTTTTCATATCAAAATAGATTTGTACGTGCAAGATAATTCGCTTTACAAACTATTCTAATAACCCTATATGAATTTGAGTTTTGGATGATTTGTCCCATGCCAACATACCATAATTAATATATGATAAATTAAGAGTAGAGTACAAATGAACAATTCCTCTTGAGGTGACATGATCTGAACTAATAAATAATACCAGTACTTTTTGACACCACTTTACTTACTTGTCCACATGATTTTTCCAATTCGTATATACCAAGACATTTTGCTGAAGTTACTCTCTCAATAGGGACATTATCCAATGTCACCTCGCCTGGCCAAAAATCGACTGAATTAATGAACGGCATATAATTAGTTTTTTTTTTGAAGATTCAAGGTTAACTAATAAGCATAAATCTACTTCATTACTTTTCGAAATTCTTCATTCACAGTTTTCAACAATATTTGTGGACATTTTTGAGAAAGAAATACGATCGAGTCATCAGCAAAAAAAAAAGAAAAAAAAAAGATAATACACTTTATGAGCGTTGGAAATCGTTAATATACAAGATAAATAAAAGTGATCCCAAAATGGATCCCTGGGGAACACCACATGTTACTTTGTTGGGGGGGGGGGGGGGGGGGAGTCAATTCCATACAAGGACATACATTGCTTTCTATCCGTAAGATAACTTCTAAACCAATCCAAAGCGACTCCCCTGACACCATAATGACATAATTTACTCAAGAGAATTTCATGGTCTACACTCTACAGTATCAAAGGCTTAGGAAAAGTCTAAAAAATGTACCGATGGTGTGTAAGTGACTATCTAAGGCAAAAGCAAGTTTATCTATAAGATGTAAAATTGCATGTGTTGTTGTTTGCTTTTCCCGAAAACCAAATTGATAATTACTAAAGACAAATGTTTTGTTAAAAATGTTATAGTTCTTAAATAAGTTTTCCAGATCTTTGAAAAACATGATAACCAAGAAATCGGACGATAATTTGTCAATAATTGAGACTCACCATTTTTCAAAGTTGGTACAACTTTTGCGATGTACATGTTTATCGGAACAACTCCGCTTGACATAGACAAATTAAAAATATGAACTAGTGGTTGAAGAATACCGACGACAACTTGCTTAATAAGTTAAATTACCAATATGATAATACCCATGACTTTTCTTGTTCTTGAGGCCTCTTACAATACCAAGCAATTCTTCGTCGCGCGTGGGCACCACAAATAAATTTGGCATGTTAGGTTCTCATAAATAATCTTGAAATCAGTTTGACCGTTTGAAATATTTTTTTTCTTCAGATTCGGGCCAGTATTAAAAAAATATTCATTAAACTTTTCCACTACAATATCTTTATCTCCAACCAGCTGGTCATCTTTATTCAATTGTCTTATACTTGTTACTTTATATGGTGCTCGAAATACATTTCTTATCACCTTCCACGTGCCCTTGATATAATTACAAGCTGCTTGAAACTGTATAAAATAGAATTTTTGTTTGGCTTCACGCAGCACAGAAGTCAGAGTATTGCTGTAAACAGAATTTTTCCTTTTTAGAACTTCCGTCCCTACATTCTTATGCTTGTATAACAGCTCATTTGTCTCATTTATTGATTTTAGCATAGCATTGGTGACCGACAGAATACGTGGGTTTCTTCTACGGTTGTTTTTACTCTTTATTACTGGAACATTAGCATTGTACACCAATAAAACCTATTCATGAACATATCGAAGACACCCTCAACTCGCTGATTTGAAAGAATATCACTCCAGTCTGTCGCCAATAATGCCCCTCTAAACTAATTAATATTTTCAGGAGTGCTTCTTTTAAAGCCCCACCGTCCTACTTGTAGCTACTTGCTCCCTTTATATAGGAAACTTCCCCAATCGGTGCCTGTTGGTCCCCCAGGATCCTCTTTTTCGTATGTTAGTTGAGAGCTGAGTTAATGAGATAGCCACCTGTCAGTGACCTCGCTGTGTGGTCTAATCTCTTCTAGCTCAGTAGCATTGACGGTCTTTAACATACATGTTCTAGAACAATGACGATAACCTAATACCCTCTATCCCTCACATACACAACGCTACTACGTGTAGGAAAACTTATAGCAATATACAATTATAATGAATAAATGTGACATATTTGTAAAGCTTAGAAGACGAAAGACTTGATGCATGGATGATCGTCAACGAGACGGAGTTAGGTCTTTTGTCAACTCTGTTTGTTGCTACGGCAGGCAGCCAGTGAAAACGAACTCGTCTAATCAAATTATGGAAATGCAAGCATTATTTTAAACAAACGGAACTTTGTTCTTCCTGGCTCATTTTTCCTGATTGAGGTGTCATAATTTATGAAAGGTCAGAAATTGAACTTCCTAGAAATGTGATATTCTCTTTGAAATTCAGATACCGCCCGCCAAATGATTTTTTGATTTCCTCTCTTAAAATTGTTTTCAATCTCTCATGCGTGACATATGTATCATATGAGTTGCATCAAATGAAAGAAGAGGATCTAAGCTTTACGAATATGTGCCATTTATTAATTATAATTGCGATTAAGTTAGGTTAAAACATCGATAATTCTCGGTTTCGTTTTTTCTGGGACGTACGGTATATACAATATTTCTAACAATGGCGTCTGTTTTATAGCTAGTTAAAGGACCTGCGGCATGGTAAACAAGATTTTATCCAAAATTCCTATCAAAGCAGTACAGGCACAGTACAGTACTAAGAATATACCTGTATCATTAAATACAATAGGCTATATTCTTCATAACTTTTCAAAATGTTTTGTGTAAAAGTATTGCTTTTTTTTTTACTGTTACCCTTGCCAATGATTAGTATCATTTGATTAAGACTTGTTATAAAAGCAATACTCGCTTTCAAAAGCCTGATAATAACTGAATTAATTCATTGGTGTTGTTCTCTGTAGATGGAAATCAAGAGACGAAAAATTGCTGAAAAGCATATTGTGTTTCTCTGAAGCTTCCAATTGTCTTAATCTACAGTCTCATAATCGACATCACCTTTTATTTCGTTTGCAAATTGCGCAACATTCTGGTTCTCATAAATCAGGTTCGATGATGGTAGACGTCTTTCTTCTGGTCTTTTCGATGAAGCCGTGGAGGTGATATCCATCTCCTGGTATGTCGTGTCTGCCTCGGGTCTGGGTGTTAGATCCATGTAAGGATCTGGTTTGTTCTCTCTAGTCCTGGTCGGTACTTTGCGTCTGTTACAGAAAAACAAAATCACTGAATAAATACATATTAATCCACAACCACCACCCTACTCCTAGGTGTTAAATGGGTACCAGGTAGGATGCAAAAGTCATTGTAGTTTCGGTGCTCAGCATTGTGAACGTTTCTATATAATAGCTCCTGTCTGAAATGCTCCCCATGGAGTGGAGAAAGTTGATACATTTTGTGTGGGCAAGCCTGAATCATAATTCCGGGCTAATATTACATCTGTAAAGCGCTCAGAGATATCGTAGATGTAGTTTATACCCCTAATATTATTGATAATATTGTTATTATAAATGTTTTGATTTAACAATTGCTAGAAATAAAGCAAAGCGCTCAGAGACACCGTAGATGTATTTTATACCCCTAATATTATTGATAATTGAAGTTTGAGTCTGGTTAAAATGTGGATTCATATGTCAAACAACCTTATACCAGATGAATATTTGATTGACATATCTTGTCATAATTAGTAAAATGATACAACCCTCAAAAACTCATTAGTTGTAACATGCATACTAGGATACAGCTCTTTGATGGTAGCACATTTCTGCAATTGTTCATTTCGTGAAATACAGGTCAAGAATAAATTGCATAAAACCTAAATTACCTGAGCTGAATAAGCAAGAAATTAATAGCAACTGCAAGCCGAGAAATCAACAAAGGGAATCTATCACCTTTGCGAAATGTGCGAACATCGAAACGATATGATTTCTAGAAAGTCTTCGCGATCTTGTGGGGAGGTTAGAAGCGAATTGAGTAAGGGTTTATAGACGTACACATTTTCTTTTAGATAATTGGTTTACCTTCTCCTCCTTACTACAATGATGACGATGACAATAAGCAGTAGAACGAAGATTATTCCTCCTACTGCCCCACCAACGCTGGCGCCAATTGCAGAAGAGACAGGAGGGGGTGCTATGGATTAAAGAAGGTGTAAAATATAAACTTTATATGGCAGATCATTAGAATAATTATTGAGTGATGGTATTTGTTTGATGAGTTCTTGTCTCCATTTTATCATGGCCATGCTCGAATATCTCATTAATAAGTTTACACGGATCATGATGATAATGATATTAACATTAATATACATGATCAAAGAAGTTTTAACAACGATACAGGCTATAATTATAACAATAATCATGATTATGGTGAAATACACTCAGCAAAATAGAAAATGTCATTTTCAAGTTTGGTAAATAAAATGTATGAAAAAAGAGAAGAAAAAAATACACAACCGACATGAATCAAGATCAAGATTTTAGGTTGCCCGCATTGATGGGCACATGCATTATACAACGCGGTTACCGCGTCCTGTGCGAAGCTTCTGCGACAATTACTCTTCGTAATAAGTGCTATACTAACTGAATCCCCAATTTCAACCCGAGACCCAACACTATACTTAACCCTACTCATAACTCAAGACCTAACCTAAATTCTGAATCCGGCCGAAACCCTAGCATCACATGTTTGACAAGACAAAGCGTAGACCAAATATCGAATCACACCTTGAGACATTTACTATCCCTCATCCTAATCATATCCTTAAATCTAACCTTATGCCCAATTGCTACCTAAATCTGAACTCTATACTTTCGACGAAATAAATTCCGATCAATTGTCGCCGGAGCAACTATCGGATCACCAAGGACTCACCTATCTTCAGAGTTGTAACACTCAGAGCAGGTCCTTTCTCTCCTTCACCGTTAAGTCCCTCACGAACTGCTGAAATTTGAATCTCATATGCTTGACCATCACCCAGACCAGTTACGTTGTACATCAGTAGCCCTTCATCTTCTTGTCTTCTCTTCCTTGAAGATACAATCCCCGAGGATTCCATCTCCATCAGAGCCCCTGAGGATGCTATGAAGGTGTTTCTTTCGTTCCCATCTGAAGTAGTAACGTAGACCTTGTACCCAATGATAGGACCTTCACCAACATCAACATTACCGTTCCAAGAATCCCAAGCAATGATGACATAGTTGAAACCTAGTTCTGCTACCTCAGGCGCCTTGTTGAAGACCGGGAGAACTGGAAATAATACGACAAACGTCAAGGATGCAGTAAAAATTAACAGTGTCAATGGAATGGTATTTTAGTGGTTGTAAAGCCCAAATTTCTGATGAAACATGACTCCTAAACTTAACATATGGTACCCTGATCGCAAATTAGGTACAACTTCTTCGAATTCATATGTATTTTCATTTTCAATTAAAAAAGGTTTTATTCTTACTTGTATGGATATAGACTTTTTGAACAACACTACACTGTAAAAAAGAATTTGTTCATTGGTAATTTTTACGTATTTTTTCCATGTAGAATTTACTTGAAAATATTAGTTTTGCCACTTACGCACTAAACTTAAGTCTTGCTAACTCAAACTTTCAATTTAGTAGAACATACGTAGAATATTTAAGTAAAATCAAATACATAATAACTTTAAGTAATTTCAGCTTGTATTAATTTAGTAATTTTAACTCAAAATCAGAAATTATACGTATTACTCAAACAATTTATGTTGATTATTCTTATCTTTTTAAAGTAAGGACCGATGCAGTGCGTAATATAAATATTTACATAATTTATGAATATCCATTAAGACCAAATTAAACTCTTTTTTAAATAAAACAATTCTTTTTTGTGGTTGAATGAAAATTTAAGGACTTTAAAAATTTACTAATTCATTTAACATGGCTAAGCAAAGACAAGACAATGTTTGATTGTTACCCAGTTCAAAACAAATCAAAATTTGATATTTCAGGAAATTGTCAACCAATTTTCCTTTTAAGATGCTACGATCAAGTATATATAAAATTTGGAGCCTTTCAATATGTGTCGAATTGAAGCGTATGTAATAGTTTGTGATGGTGGTAGATATATATATACGGTTAAATCTTAAATAGAAGTAGTGAATGATTAATGGATGTTACTTGTTAGATTAGATGGGTACCAAATCGTGCAATATGTAATCCTATCATAGCTTTTTTTGAATTATCTAAAATGATTACAATACTTAAATTATTTACGTTAATGTAACTCGATTTAACTGAGTAAAAATTTATTCAGCAAAATAAGTAAATTCTACTTAAGATGCCGTAGGTAATATTTACTTAATAAAAATAAGGCAATTCTTTTTCTCAATTTTATTGAGTTATTTCGACTATTATTTTTTTACAGTGTAGAAACATTCTTCATGACTTGTCCTTATGTTATTATCACGCACACTAAAATGTAGATGGTTCTAGAAAGATGTATATCGCTTTGTCGGTGTTTTTTTTAAATGTGTATCTCTTCGGACAGAAGCCAATATGATCCCCTTTTGATAAACCTGATCAATTGTCCATATTTCATTTCAAATTTATATGTGAATGTAAATTCATTTAAAGTCACAAGGTAATCAAGATAACATTGGTTTAATTGAATTTCACCTTTCTCACCAAACATTGGTGTTTTCTTTACCTCACACACATACACACACACATTCACACACACACACGCACACATACACACGCACACACACACACACACACACACACACGCTCTCTCTCTTTTGGGTTGGATTGTTTGAATCCTTTTTTTCCAGTTTACTGATATATGTAATCATATGTACATATTGGTGTGTGCTGCAAGCTTCTGGAATCATCAAAATGATAATAAATTTGGCCCAGTCTTGGTAAAGTTACAAGCACTGTACACAGAAAGATGTATATGGGACTTCACGAACATGTGGCATCAAAATCCGCCCCGTTTGTTATGATGTTACATGCCATATTTAGAATATTAAGGCATTTGAACAGCCATGCTTTTCAGGAAACATCTTTTATCTGATGTTCTTCCACACTTGCATCATACAATGATAACGCTCACAAATTATTTTTCACCTCTTCCCATAACTCAACTTTTTTTTTAAAGCACCTACCGAATGTTTCAGGCAGTGGCAATCTGATAAAAGCAAATCCAATGTCACTTGTTGATGTGCCAATAAAACAGTAGATGGGTTGATTTCCGTTGACATTAACGGAAAACGAAAAGTATGATTGAACTGAAGATTGATCGGTAGCAGTATTTGCGGCCTGTGCGTTTTCCCAGTTTTCCATTGAGAAATCCCCCACAGTAGCCTTAATGGAAGGGATGTTGCCACTTGTGTCGGTAGAAAATATGCAGAAAAACATCGCAACACCTGGGTTGGTTTTTGCTCGTGAAATGCTAAAGCGATCTTCAAATACAAAATATGTACAATAGATAATCAACAAATTAATGAATGAAAAAGAAAATCACTGAAAAAGAAAGTAATAATATTTTAAGCTCCATTTTTGTACGAGTCACTATATATCGCAATCCATTACATATTGAACCAAATATATTGGCCTTTAAATTACAATATTTTGATTTAAAGAACCATTCAGGATCAAAATATGAGTATAATTTGCACTGCTTACTGAACTTCATGTTGTATCAATAATTATAAATAACTTGTCGAGGAATGTATGCGTCCAATTTCTCGCATTTTATTGAGCCTTGAGTGTTACTGCTGGTAAAAATGACAGCATGTATTGTTGATCTGAAGTCAAAATATTCGTTCACAATTGAATGAGTTAGCCCTGTAATACCCCGAACTATTTAATAAACACAAGCAACCCTCATTTTATTTTATTCATGTTATCTCTAAGTTCATTCAAGTTTGATAAAGCCCACGCATATTGTTTCTGTTAACAATTCAACAAGAATACAAATGACATTAACCGGCTTAGTTGAAAACTATTGTAAAATATCCTGATAAGAATGGTTACCGATAGAAAGGCGAAATACTTTGGCCAAAATCAGATTCACTTCGAGATGAAGGATATCTTGAAAGAAAAGGTAGAAGGTAGCAGACCAAGACGAAAACCAAGAACCAACAAGGATAGGAACATTAAGACACGGAGTCGAATGACACTGCAAGGGTGTACTAGAATAGCGGAGAATAGAGATGTGTGGGAAAAAGCTACAATCAACCTCCGAGTTGGGATAACAAACCTTGATAGTTTCTTTTATAAATGTAATGCTTCCTGGGAGAAATTTCAATAGTTTGAACATATTTGTGGCTTACACCCAGTAAATAAGATCGATTGACCGATTTGTAATTGAAAAACAAGTCAGAAAAAATCTTGGAACCAGCGGGATTTGAACCTGCCGGGCAGCGACTCAATCTTATTTACTGGGTGTAAGCCACTAATATGTTCAAACTATTGAAATTTCTCCCAGGAAGCATTACATTTATACAAAAAAGTTATTGTCCTATGGCGGACTAGTGAATATTAATAAGTCGGAATGAATCAGGAGAGGCTTGGGTATTTGTTTCTAGTTGATCGTGACTGTGCTATTGACCAGTGATGGCCTGGTGGTAGAGTCGCTGCCCGGCAAGCAGTAGATGGCAGGTTCAAATCCCGCTGGTTCCAAGATTTGTTCTGACTTGATTTTCAATTACAGATCGATCAATCAATCTTATTTACTGGGTGTAAGACGCAAATATGTTCAAACCTTGATAGATAGATAAGTAAATAGTACTAACCCGTTTGACATTTGTCTCCCATCCATCGTGGATCGCATGTACCTTGAGAGCACGTCCCGGTCACCTGGTTACAGTCCTCGACACCACCAGCACAGTGACATGTCTTAGAACAAGACTCGAAACATCCGGAAACTAAATTAAGTTAACATATCGGATGTGAGGAAAGAACTACTGAGCAGTTTCAAAATTTTGCATTCACAACATTTAGTTTATTACGATTTCCTTAAAGTGCGTTTGGAATATTAACATTATTAATTACATAATTAAATATTGCACGAGGGGAGTAGCAAGCTAAATCCACTGGAGCCTCCGGGCCCCACTTTCCTGTACAATTGATTGGGATGTGCTGGGGTGACTGGGGTTTCCCCTATTCATTATAATCATGAACCAAGAATGCAGTACGTTCTCAGTGTCCTCAGCAAGGTGGTGACTGAACACTACCAAGACTGGTTGTGGTTGTTGTTATTTAAGTTTGATTATCAAACATAAGCTGGTAATGCATGGCAAATTTATGCGAAACAGTCTTAACATCAACGTTTTAATAATTGGTCAATAAGTTGCTGTTGCAGTAAAGTGATTATATTGGATATAGGCCAGGTTCTTGTGACATAACTATTTATAAGGCAGTTTTCGCAAGGTTAGTGTAAATTCATAAAGCACAAAAATAATAGAAGCGGTTTATACACGAATGTAAAATGCACATACTTCCGTTATATCCTGGGTTATTGTTAATATTAATCGCTGTTTTATGGTTATCCATAGCTAAAGTAAAATTTCTTACATCTGACACATCCATCTGGTCTCTGTGGAGACTCAGCAACATAGCCAATCTCACATTGTCCTCCCGATGATGTACAGAAACCAGAGTCCTTCTCACATTTCGAGTACTCAGGACAGTTACATAACTCTGTGCAACTTATTCCAAAATAACCGACTGGACAGACAGGGGGAACTGCGAAAATGGTATGTGTATTCAAAGATATAGATATCATTATAATGATATAAACAATACCAACGATATAAATAACATAATCAATAACAATAATAATGAATATAGACGACACAATTATTTTGAATGCATAGATGTGAGATTTCTCTGGTAAAACCCTTCCCGATTGCCTGATGTCATTTCCAGGTTTGCCCACACACTATGTAGGCACCCTTTTCACTCCATTGAAAGCATTCCTGGCAGGCATCCTTTTAGAGACGTCCAAAATACTGAACAAACCACAATAACTTTCGCGTTTGACCTATCATTAGGACGGAATATGGCGAAATGTTAAGTATTAAACAACATGTTTCATCATTACTGTTCTTACCAAAGGAGAATACTCAAATGGGAGGGCAGCGAAATCTTTGTCTGCATACACATTCTATTTTGATATACATATTTTTTTTTTTTTCAATACCTAGTCTAGCTATAAGAGTTTATGGCTGTCCCAAAGGTAGGTACAGTACAGAGCCTATGAAATGTAGTAGATCATGCAATCTACATAGTCTTAGTTCAGACACTGTTCCACATTACGACTGACTAGGGATAAAGAGACCAATGATCTGACAGTATTGTCCGGTGATATATGTATTAGATTGTATACCCACCAATGGACATCATGATTGGAGATATTCTCGACCAACATGGACATCACAACATCCTGCCAAAACTGAATGCGACCGACTCTAACAGGAAAATCTAACACATAGTTACCAATGCAACCCATTAAATACAATCATGTACATTTCAGCTACCTAACATGCATGACCAACTGATACAGAAGATATATGTTTATATTATAATATACCCGCAAGTCTACAAAAGAAATTAGGCATACCTTGACACCCTTCTCCTGACCAACCATCCTCACAGTCTCCCTCACATCTTCCCGTGAAGGCGTCACATGGCATGCCTCCTACACAGTGGCAATCTTGAAAGCAGTCAACACCAAACTTACCCGGAAAGCATTCTGTAATTAGATTCACGACAGTAAAGAATAGAAAAGTAAGGAAATATAAAGGGGACATTCCGCATGCGCATTGACAATCTTGAAGCCAGTCAACACCGAGCCTTCTGGTAGAACATCCTGAAATTTAACTCACGACATTAGATCTGATTTAAAAAGTAAATAACGAAATACATAGGGGACTTCCTAATGCAGACAAAAACATCCTGGAGGCAGCGCATCGAGCTTTCCCGGAAACAGGCTCAAATGTAGTTCAATTAATCCAGCGGATTTAAATATGAATAATAAAAATGTTATACTCCTTGATTTTAAAAGCGGTAACAAAAAATATATATTGTATCATTAAATTCTTTTCGATTGGGTGACTCATAAAAACTAAATAAATCATGTTTGAATGTACGTAATGTGTCATTGCAATGTTCTCACACGCAAACGGGTGATGGCCATGGCGCTTTAGATTGCTTTACGTTGGTCTTTTGAAAGACATGTAGTCTTCTTATGCTACATTAATGTATCTTACGTTCGTCGCAGTTTATTCCTGTAAAACCAGCCAGGCAGTTGCATCCATATGGATCGGGTAGACACACCTGGCTTCCACTGCAGGCTTCTAGAGCATTCCCAGCACCACATTCAAGTTCACACTCCCATCCAAAACGATTTTCATCGCATGCTGTTCCAGAAAAATTGAAGAAATACATAATTAATAGAATCATGCTCTCAATTTATTCTCTTGCTATAATATGCAGCACTTGCACTTGAACATAATTATTTGTCTCTATTATCCATTTAATTATTTGATTCTTACAAATATAAAAGTTCAAGTTTGCAATTCAATCCAAAACGGTTATCAAAGCATCCTCTTAAATGTGAAAAAAATCTAAATAAAAAGCCATTGTATTTTGTTGCAAGTAGTAGGCAACACAGCTAGTGAATACTACATTATATTTTATTGTTTGTACCTATGAAGGTACCCTATACCTCCCTTCCAAAAAGAGAAAAGAAAGGTAAACCTCATCACACTGAGAATAATTAATGATTTATAAGGCTTACCGTTTTTTTAAATTCATTGTTTCGACTGCATGAAATTTAATATAGACTGATAATAATTGAATTATATATTACATGTACATAATTTGTCTGTTTTTATCTCAATAACTCAAGTTACATCAAGAAAAATATGTGGTCTCATATACCTTTGCAAAAAGCCTCAATGACTGAACAGTCAGCGTTATCTGAAATTGCATACTTCAGTTGCAATGGAATCCACGAGGGTGTGGGTGCAGCGTGTTTGTTTGTTTGCGTGCGTTTCTTTGGGTGCGTGGTTATGTTCGTGAGTATAGCATTGTGTATCGCAGATAAGTAGTGAACACTTTTGCGGCTTTTTAATTGTTTCCTTGTCATTGGGCCAGGAGTAAAGTGGAACTCATACTGTGATTTAGTCTTTACTGAGGTGTTTACTTCGCCATTGAGAAATATTTTGAAGTCTCACCAGTCAGACAGTTTTTGCCCATGAATCCTGGAGGACAGATACAGGTTCCTGATTGAGGATGACAAATCCCTCCATTGTAGCAATTATCACACAGACGATCACAGGGTGGGATGTTCCATCGGCCACTCGGACAATCTATAGGAATAAAATGGAATCAATGTGGCATAATATTTGGTTGAATCTTGAATTTTATATAACTTGTCACACATTATTATAATGGTTGGCTATAGGGCTAGTAACAAAATACAGTTACAGTGCTTTTATCATTACGTATGGTAATCTTCATAGTGTATTGAGCCCATTAGTACAAACAAATGGTAAGGTTCAAGAAAGCTTTATCGAATAATACACAGTTTGAAACTTATGTTATGATTGTAATTCCTTCAGATAGTATCATAACTTTCCAATTATAATAAAAGCGTATTTTTGAAGAAAGGAACAAAATTACAGAGAGATTTCGTATACATAAAACAGATAGTTCCTTTATAGATTTTTCAGATTATTAGAACAACGGAATGGATAAAACGAAATCTATTCTTTTACCACTGACAATGACGCGAATCAAGCTGTACATTAGATTTTCAACCATGCCGTTTTGAACCATTCCGTAGATATCAGCATTTCTCTTCGTCGCCGATCGAATGGTATAGGTCAGAGTCCCGTCTCCCTCTGGAGACAAAGATCCTTCAGCGAGGTTTGAGAAGGTCCTCCATCGGATTTCATCTTCTCCAGCTGTGTACGTATCCATGGTAGAAACTGAAAGTGTGATGTCGTCACCTGGATAAATCGTTTTCGTGAGACGGCCGTCAGTTGGTTGAAAATGTCCTTGGAAAACAAGAAGAAAGAAGGTAAAAGGGCTTCTTACTATGAATACTAAGTATGAACGAGAAACGATCGATAATGAAATACATCAAAGTATTTTTCATTAATTGTCTTAATGATCAAACTGGAAGCTCGTAAAAAGATATAAGTATTCTTTAAAAGAATGTTTGCATTTCAAAATCTTGATATGCATTTCTATGTCTTGCCTCACAATATGCAAAAAAATCGAAATAAAGCCCAAATTATTCAATTTCCACCAAAAAAAAAATAAGACAAGTTTGAAATATTAACGTGTGAGTATTATGCAGTGGTAAGGATGATGAAGAAGATGACGTCGACGCCGGTTATGATGATAGTGCTTCAGACTATTTATATTGCGCCATATTTCTGTTAAATACATTTAAAGACACAGAATGTCCTTGCAATGTTTTTTTTAAAGTTATTTATTATTGTGTCAGTCCTATTCGCAAGCACTCTTTGCTCGATTGCAAATTTAATTATACCTACTGTCTTTTGAGAGAATTGTTACATCTGCCGATGTTGAAATACCAGTAGTTGTAGATGTACTCGAACACTTATAAAGACCAACGGATGTCACATCACCAGGTAGATCCTGTATAAATCCACCAGGCTGAGTTATCTTTGTGCCCGGGACGTCCAGTGTGTACCCATCTGTTGTGAGGCTCCGAACAACTACTCTCTCTGTATAGGTTACAGAGTCTTCTGTGTTGTCAGGAGGGCCGAGTATGCAGGAGAAACGAGGAGTAGCTCCCGAACTCCCGAAAGGTGTTGACGTCATGACGAGTAGATGGAGTGGTGGGGCTGGGTAGAGAGATTATGTGTTATACGCTATAAAAGAACTGAGTATTATTATTATTATTATTATTATCAGAAAAAGATTATTGGTAATAATGCATTACCCAATCGTCTGTCTTATTAGTGTATTTCTATATTGATTGAGAATAAGAAGGTCCTTAAGTCTAAAGAAAGCAGTACCTTAAGTTTCTTATTCTCACCGATGTTATATTTTCTACATGTGGCTCGCTTATTTCTCATTTGTAATATGTAATCTAACTCCATCCCCTCTCCTCTAGAACCGTTACTGAGTGTATTGAGAATATCCGCCTATTTCGCCCTTCCGTCATTAAACAGAAATATGTTTCCTGTGTCACGGGTATCATGCATGGGAATGAGAAAGTTCACGGGACAACACTGATTAATGTATACGATAAACTCCAAATCGTTACCCAAAGTCTGGTAATTCTAATGCAAATATTTAGTGATTTTACAACATTCTATGTCTCCAATTTACATCTAGAAAGAACAAATTTAAATATGGCTTGGCCATCGAACTCAGCTGATTTTGTTCAGACTAATAGTGGCTTTGTTAAATGTGATAGCGTGTTATTCGATTGCTGTTTACGTGAAAATGGATAACAATGTCATTAATTTATATCTATTCATAGTTTCAGCCAGGGGCGTACGCAGGGGGGGGGGGGGGTTGGGGGTTCAAACTCCCCCCCCCCCTTTGTTTTTTTTTTTTTTTTTTTTTTTTTAATTATTAAAAAAAAAAAAAAAAAAAAAAAATTATACCCACGGTTAACCTAAAAAAGGTGACCCCCCCCCCCCCCAACGAAGAAAAATGTCAAATTTTGAAATTTCGAGACCAAAAAAAAAAAAAGTGTCCGCTTATTCCCCCCTAAAAACACGCCCCCCCCCCCCCCTTTGGGTTTTTTTTTTTTTTTTTTTTTTTTTTTTTTAATTATTAAAAAAAAAATTATACCCACGGTTAACCTAAAAAAGGTGACCTTACCCCCCCCCCCCCCCCCCCCAACGAAGAAAAATGTCAAATTTTGAAATTTCGAGACCAAAAAAAAAAAAAGTGTCCGCTTATTCCCCCCCCCCCCCCCCCCCCCCCCCCCCCTGAGCGACTTTTCGGCCGGCGCGATTTTCAAATTTTCGGGAGCAAACCCCCCCCCCCCCCCCTTGAAAAAATCCTGCGTACGCCCCTGGTTTCAGCAGAATCCTTAGTAATTATAGGTTAGAAGTTAGGTCACATGTTATCACGTCTATCACATTGTTTATTTGATATTTAAATAATATGACATACCCTCTGATTTCTCGCAGACAAACCTTCGTGAATATCCGCTACAAGGTATGTCAATCCAGCCGTTGTTTCCAGTTTCTACACAGTGTTCGTACCCATCGAAATTATCTGGATTCCCGCCACCCCATTCAGTGAATCTGCATATTCGAAGTTATAACAGTTTCGTGATATTCCTTTTTTAAATTTGTAGTACCGTGATGAATCAAATATCAGGAATTAGATTATCTTTGATGTTAAACAAACAAAGAAAAAAGGTATGTAGGAAACTAACGTTTGCCGTTTTCATAGTAAATCAATCCAAAACAATAAACAAATAACAATTTGTAGGGGTGGCTTATCAGAAAAAAAGCTGAAAGCCCTAAACAATGCAACAGTGATCGTCAGAAAGAAACAAAGATTGGTTCCATGAGCTGTAAATATGTTAATACAATGGCTCTTAAAACTAGCGAAATTGCAATTTTCTTAGTAAATCGATCGAGAACAATAGAAAATAACAATTTATAGGGGTGGCTTAACAGAAAAAAGCTGAAAGCCCTAATCTACGCAACAGTGATCGTCAGAAGATAAAAAATTGGTTCCATGAGTTGTAAATATGTTACTACAATGGCTCTTCTCGCTTTTTAAAGAAAACCGCACCCCGAAGAATGAGTGCGTAGATATTCTGAAAAATGAGATGTATTTCTGATGCATCAAGTCCTTTCGTCTTCTTTGTGCATGGCTGTTCGTCAACGAAACGGAGTTAAGTCTTTTGTCAACTCTGTTTGTTGCTACGGCAGGCAGCCAGTGAAAACGAGTTTGTTTAGTCAAATGATGGAAATGCAAGCATTAATTTAAACCTACATAACTTTGTTATTCCTGGCTCATTTCTGCTGATTGAGGTGTCGTATAAAAGGGCTGAAACTGATCTTTCTGGAAGTGTGATTTTCTCTTTGAAATTCAGACACTGCCCGCCAAATGACTTTTGGGTTTCCCCTCTTAAAATTGTTTTTAATCGTAAACTTTTTACACGTAAACCAACTGGGATCTAAGCAAAATTTATTTATGCGGCCCATTACCCTGGGCAATGGCAATCTTTTAAAAAGTATTGACCGATAGAATCACGACTCCAATTTCGACCAATCAGATGACTAGATTTATTCAACATCCTAAAGAGAGGTATATCATAGTTACTAATCAAGACCGGCAATGGGTAGTGGCATTATGTTGCACAAAGCAATCCTTCTCCCAACTGGTACCTATTGTTTTGTACAAAAATGCGTGTGTGGTAAACGGGCGACCGTGCAGATCTAGAGGTGAAGTGTGGAATGTGTAAAAAATATGAATGAATCGTTGTTTACTCTGCAACCAGTTTCGTTTAATAGCCAATAGTCTATTCCCATATGGTATACACACGGACCGGCTCCTATCGATGTGGTACAATCATCATTGCCTACTTATCAATTGGTCTTATTCCAAGTTTGTATAATGGCCATTCGTCTATTATTCATATGGTTTAATAATCATTCATTCATAATTATTAATAGTCATCAAATGATTATTAGACCTTGTGGATGGAAGACAAAATCGACATTGGACGAACTTTGAATTAAACGGACTTGAAATTAGAGTAAATGAGCGATAGACAAAAGGGTAGTAAACTTATTGGATATTGGACCGATTGGAAATTAGACCACATGATTATTAGCGCAAATGGTCATTAGACAAAATGATAGGTTGACAGATTATTAGACCATGTGGATAGTACACACGGCGGGTATAGACCAGTGGCGGATCAGGGGGGGGGGGGGGGCCCGGGCCCCCCCCCTTGAGAAAAAAAATCATGTAAAATCACGTGATTTTTACCTTTTTGGGGGGTTGGGCCCCCCCCCCTGGCGCTCAAGGGGGGGTGCAAATTGAAATTTTTTGAGGATCAAAAAAAAAAATGTGCTCACTACACCCCCCCCCCCCCCCCCCCCCACTGAGCGAATTTTTGGCCGGCGCGTTTTTCAAATTTTCGGGAGCAAAAAAAAAAAAAAAAAAAAAAATTGTGCTCTGCTCTGTACCCCCCCCCCCACTGAGCGACTTTTCGGCCAGCGCGATTTTCAAATTTTCGGGAGCAAAAAAAAAGAAGAAGTTGGGCCCCCTCCCCTAAGAAATCCTGGATCCGCGTCTGGTATAGACCATATCGTCGGTGGGGTGACAAAACCTCGTCTAAAAATCATGAATTTTCAGGAGAGCGAAACAACTTTCCTGTCTCAACAAATTTAGTGCTGTGACACCGTCTTTTCTTTTTAAAACTGGAATATTTATACAATTTTTTAATGTCATCGTTGAAATACAGTAAAATAATTGTTTTTAAATTTGAAAGTGAGTTACGAGGTTTTAGTTGTTATTCAAATTGAGTTACGAGTTCTTACTTTCAACTCTGAATGAGTTACGAGGTTTTGGTTGAATAAGTTACGAGGATTTGAATACACTAACTTCGGTACTGTTAGGCCGTGTGTGAGTTACGAGGAAAAGGAATTACGTATCTTATGTTACGAGGTTTTGTCAGTGCAGCTTCAAAGGGGGTTAAAGTTACGAGGTTTAGTATAAGGGTGTTTGTGTGGATTTGTGAAAAACCGAGACAGGAGGCGTTCCATGGATTTATCAGGTGGTGTCGTAGGCCATTAGCTACAAAATTATGCAAACAAAATCAAAATCTCAAAAAATTGAGATACGAGGTTTTGTCACCCCACCGACGATATAGACCAATTGGGTAGCAGACGAACTGGTTGTAGATCAGAAGAATATAAACCGTATACTGTTTATACATCTACCTCGAAATGCCCAAGTAAAGAGAGAGGGAGGGTGAGGATGGGGATGGGGGGAGAGGGAGATGGAAAGAGAGAAAAGAGAAAGAGAGAGAGAGCGAGAGAGAGAGAGAGAGAGAGAGAGAGAAAGTGGAAGAGAGAGAGAGAGAGGTAGGAGGGGGAGGGAGAGAGAGAGAGAGAATACAATGTCATCTTACCCTGTATTTCTTAACAGCGTTCCATCAGCCCATCGGAAATCGCCTTCCTTGCTCAGATCCTCAAGCCCAAACCAAAATCTTCCGTCTCCAATATTCCCAAATTGATTTCTTACTGCTGACTGTATTATCAAGAAAACAATAAACAATTTTCCATTTTATTTCCAGTGAATTTCTCGTCATAAATGGAAGTTTGAAGTATTTATTTTAGAAAACGTACGAAAAAAGCAATCAATATGATCAAGGAGACCTTGATATAAATGAGTCGTGATATTCGGTTGGAAGACACATGGTCCGGCAACAATCACACCGTGGTTGATTGAATTGGACTGGTTTATAACAAGAACATGACACGCAGCTCAAGGCTGATACTGTGTTTATTTCTCGAAGTAACCGAAATAAATTAATTACATCATGATAAAACACCACGTACATAATACAACTCTCCAATAAAAATTCACTTTATGATTTGAAAAATATACTAAAAATGAGGATCATTAACTTATCAAATATTTTAAGGTCATATCCATAAGTAGTGAAGAATATTTAGCAATTCATGTAAGCTTGTTTAGTATAAAGTTATAGTAAATCATAACATGATATGATTCAACAATATTACAACCTTCAGAGCAAAAAATAAAAGAGTTAAATGAAATCCATGTACATGTACTGGAACAAAACCTCACAGTAAGTGAGGAGACGACCAAATAAAAATCAAGATAAAGGGAAGATTAATTATGTATGGTAGAAGAGATAAAGAAGAGTAAAAGACGAAAGACCACCTACATCTATATTAACGGACAATAAACAGACAATTATGAAAATAGATATGAAAAAGATGTTGCATCGGATTGAATTAGATTCCACAAATGATTCATTTCATTACACAAAGATAAATTAAAGCATTGCGATAACTGATGCTTGTAATAGGTTGGGGGTATAATAATGTCGATTACCGTGTCGCCGATGACACTGTTTTCAAACACGTAATACAGACAAGGTATTCAGGTTGAATAATCTATAACAAAAAAAGGAATAAACTAAAAATATATAGGTGATTCTTTTACTCTGTACTTTCCATTAGGTAATTTATTTTAAAATTTACGAGTAGAATCAGACGTACAGTCCTTATATAAGAGCGAGTTCGTATTTGTTTCTTTGTATGCTTTACTTAGTCCGACCCGAGACAACTAATTACATTGATAGTTGATGTTTTTAACTGCGCGAGCTGTCCACCTGTTTGTTGGCAATATTCCGATGCGTTGAAATAGTTTGTTGAGAAGGTTGACACGTAATACTGTACGTTAAGCACTCCTGGAATATCTGTCCATTGTCCAGTTGGTACTGTGTAAGAAAAAAATAAAGTATATCTTAGAAAGAAATAAAAGAAAGGAATAATAAAAAGTATTTGAATAACGAAGTTCAGTTTGATGACGTGACAATCGAAAACCACTTATTATTTGACTGTACTTTCTCTTTACTCTCCTCAAAATGAACCTTACCTTGTGGTCTTTCACAAATGTACGGCTGTGTGTCATTACAAGATCTACTGTCCCATTGGCCATGCCTGTTCGCGTCATTTCCATCAGACCACAAACACGCGCAGGTTCGCACGGTAGAAGTACCCGGCTCATCAGGAGCCCAGATAGGGTTACTAAAATGAAATGTAGTAAATATCATAAGTTAGTTGGGTCATGTAATGAATGATCCTGAGCTTGTTGAAAATAAACAATTGTGAGAAATGAAAACGAAAGAGCAATGTAAGTTGACATGGAAGGCGGCAATGGAAACACCCATCAAGCAACGCATTTACCGGTACTACTACCTTCTCATAATCCCGTATTTGCTAATTCTTATTTATGTGGGTATCGCCAATATGTTACCATATTTCGCATGGGTTTTATTAGGATATTTACTTGCATATGGTTGTATATTTCATTATGTGAAAGGCCGCCTAAAGCATGGATCTTCTCGTAGTAGTTCCATGGTGTGGGTGTATGTTTGCGCATGTGTGGAGAGTGAACGTGTGCTAGGCGGTGCGTGTAGGTGCGTGCATGTGTGTGTGAATATGCGATGCCAGTTTCGCCAAGCAAAACAAAAAAAGGCCATAGAATATCACCTTATTTGAGTTTCATCAATCCAGGTGAATGGCTCAGCATCCGCGCTTCGACTTAGACCGAACCAGTAACAAGAAGGCGATGAATGGGCAGGCGATACAATCGATGTTAGGAACGTCTGTATAACAATTAACAATTCATTTAACATATCAAACTGATCAAAAGATGGCTGCATTAAATACGACATACCACATAGAGTCTTCTTCTGACGTATACTGTTGAGATTTGCATTTTGTGAAAATCTGTTGGAAGCCAATTGTCAGATTGTTAAAATATTTTCTTCAGTCTTCAAGGGGAAAAAGGGACGACACATTTTGAGGTTATCTTTCCAAATTGACTGATTTATTCACATTCCGATATGACTGTTCTCATTTTGAACTCTCATTGTTTTGTTGTTTTGAAATTTAAAAAGGGGGGTAAGAGGACACTTTTTTTCTTTTTTTTTGGTCTCGAAATTTGAAAATTTGACATTTTGCTCCGATAAGGGGGGGGGGGGGTAAGGTCGCCTTTTTTTAGGTCAGCCATGGGAATATTTTTTTTATTTTTTTTTTATTATTAAAAAAAAATTAAAAAAAACCCAAAGGGGGGGGGGGTTAACCCCCAAACACCCCCCCCCCCCCTGCGTACGCGCCTGACAGCATGTATGACATTGCAAACGCTAAACACAACACAATTGATAATCATAACCCGTAGAGATGTCGTGGTCAAGTGGATATAAGGGACTTTTAGATTGAGGGGACGAGAACACGACGAACGCCGACTGATCATGCGTGTCAACGTACTCAACTGTCCATGTTGACTACAAATAGAAATCTTTTAGATTTCACTCGACGATATATCATGCATGCAGGAAGTAACTCTGTGAACAAGACAGAAAAAGAAAGAGGACAAAATATACAGTTCCTCATTCTACCCACAGCAATTGCTGTGGTAGACAAAAGAACATCCCTTCACTGCTATTATCATGTAAAAATGTGTAGAACAAGGCCCTGTCTTACAAAGAGTTGATATCAATCGCAATATGTACATAAGAGATAGGAGACTGCAAACTTGCGATTGATTGGAGGACTTGTGATTGATTTGGATCAATCGCAACTCTTGGTAAGACGGGGCCCAGGTGAATATGCATGTGACACCTGTTCTACACATTTTTACATAATAGCAGGGAAGAGATGTTCCTTTGTCTACCTAAGGAACTGTATATTTTGTCCTCTTTCTTTGTCCGTCATATTCATAGTGTAATCATGCATATTAGTACCGTACTAGATTTAGGAAAATCAAGGTTGACGCATTCTCGATCGCCGACTGAGACGACGTGACGCATGCGCAGTGCCTTAAAATGACGTCACACGTTGCAGTCAAAGCTGTCGGCGTGCAAATCTAAAAGACCCTATTGTGTCCGGACCAGGGGCGTATGCAGGATTTTTTCAAGGGGGGGGGGGGGGGGGTAAGCGGACACTTTTTTTTTTTTTTGGAGTCCAAAAAAAATCGCAACGACTCAGCAAGCCGAGGGGGGGGGGGGGTTTAAATTTTTTAAATCGTGCCGAAAATTTCGCATCGACTTAGCCAGCCGCTGAATAGGAGGGGGGGGGGGGAGGGGGGGGGGGGGGTAAGAGGACACTTTTTTTTTTTGGTCCCAAAAAATCGCAACGACTCAGCCAGCCGAGGGGGGGGGGGGGTTAAAATTTTTAAATCGGGCCGAAAATTTCGCATCGACTCAGCCAGCCGCTGAATAGGCGGGGGGGGGGGGGGGGGGGGGGGGGGGTAAGCGGACACTTTTTTTTCTTTCTTTTTTCTCGAAATTTAAAAATTTGACATTTTACTTCGTTGGGGGGGGAATCATAGTGATTTTCATCCAAAAAGAAAGACCGAAAAAAAGAAAAAAAAAATCCAAAGGGGGGGGTTTTAATTTTTTTTAGGGGGGTTTACACACATAAAAATACCAAAGGGGGGGGGGGGGTTGAACTCCCAACCCCCCCCCCCCCCCTGCGTACGCCCCTGGTCCAGACTGCGAACCACAAGTTATACGGGGTTAAAATATCTGCCACATTTGTTGGCAGACATAAAGCTTCATTTGCCACACTCGACCCAGCTGAGGTAAATTTCTGGAGAGTCGTTAGAGCAGTCGTGTTAAGGCGGGGGTAAGAGTGACTTTTAGAAAACGGCGTGAACGTCCACTGATCATGCGTATCTATGGCAAGCCGTTTTAACATTTATTTCCTGATATCAATAATTCAATTCTTAATATCAAGAATTACCATTGCTTTACAACAGAAATTCATATAGGGTATCAAGAAATCAATTCTTGATATAAAGAAATAGGAAAAAATGCTAAAACGACTTGCCATGGACACGCATGATCAGTGGACGTTCACGTCGTTCCCGTCCACTCAATCTAAAAGTCCCTAACGTGGAGCTTCAGGAGTGTCAACCCTGACGGATAAGTAATCGTATCAATAAATAAAAAAAAAAATTTTCTCACATGCATGATGAAAATATTCATTATACCGAGTCGCTATGCAAGTAACAAATGTGACGACAATTATTGAGTGCATAAGTTTTTTTTTATAATGCTTAATCTGGAAATAGACGCAAACATACTTACATTAAGTTCTGCTAATCCAATAATTGCCAATCTTCCACCGTTGTTCGTGCACTCCGTCTCGGCGTCATCAAAATATTTTCCATCTCCCATGAAGCGATAAAATGAATTCCCGAACTGGTGCCAATAACAACGGGAATCTGCAAAATGAAACGCTGATTATTTGTTCTGATATATCATTCTTTTATTAATCAAAGTGTCCATAACTGGTAAGACATTAATCTACACTTGCCACTCTTCACCCAGGTACTTGTTAACGGTAAGAAAGAATATCCTTGAATGCTGTGAGCATTGAATCCCGTAGTCTAGGTAAAACTGGGGTAATACTAAAGCGCCTTGGCCACCATGCGTGGTGGATATGTGCGCTATAAATATCTAACCAAATTGCCCACTGGTAAACCTTTCCTCGTCTAATGAACCAGCAGCAGCATAAACACGTAGCGAAGATATAAATTAAAAATTAAATCGCAGGCTTGCTATGCATTCTTAATCATATTCTTCTCCCGAAATCTCAAAAAAACGAAAGGCAAACTTTGAATATCTGAAGACTAAATTTTCCCTCGTCATTCTCCCAATAATGAAGTCAAGTGCCCGGCCGAACATACAAAAGAGACACAACTGATCCCTTTTCAATAGTGGGGTATCCAGACCTTGGCCTCGTGGGAGGGGGGATGGAAACCATATGTGATTATATGGTGCATGCTTTTGGGGGGGGGGGGATAGGATGAGCTCATAATCTGGACCCATTTTCCTTATTCTTCTTGCTCATCGTAAACGTTAAGCTTTATAACATCACTGCTGTTCGCTACTTTTTTATATATTTATTTATAAGGTGATTGCATTTTGTTTCCTTGTTAGACATCTGTCATTAGGCATATTGCTCCTTGCTTCTCCTTCACGTTGGCTAGTTTTTCAAGATAGATTACCTTTTGGACGTTGGCAAATGTGAACCCGTCATCGGTACATTTGAAGTCCTCCCACTGTCCTTGATGACCAGATCTTAGCAGTATGCACCTCCCTTGCCCTGGTGCTGAACGGAAGTTTGAATACCTTTTACAAAAGGAAATTATTTAATATAGATTAATAACTGTTATTATCTGTTTGACAAAAATAACACATTGATTTATATCAGTACTTACATTATTACTATTATTGTTTGTATTACCATTATCATAATTATTAGGCCTATTAATGTCATAATTATTATTATCGTTATCATCATTATCATTACCATAATTTTTTAAAAACATTTCTAACTATTATCACCATTTTGATTATTATTTTACTACTATTGTATTTTTTAAATATTTTCATTATCATATTTATTACAATCCTTCTTGTATCAGATTCAATATTCCACGCAGCAACCGAACACGCTTTCCCCAATCATTTGTACCCACCTCACGTTCAATCAAATTGTAAAAAGAGAATATAAACCAAAATTATCTACATAAACTAGTCTACACACCATTGTTTAAGTAACAGTAGTACAGGATTCTCGATTTGAAAGACATGAATAAACCAAAGATATCGTGCGAATGGGCAATAGAGGATGTAAAGTGTAAAGAAAAACAACACTAAATTATCATGATGATAATTATTACGGATAGAACAGGAAAACGGAGGAAGAGAAGATAAACATATAAGGTAGGGGTTACATACAATTTTAATGGGAAAACAAGTTTGAGAAGATGAACAACAATTATAAGCTGAGTTACGCCCCTTTTGTTATGTGAACAGATGCCATTGCTTTGTTCGTATTTTACTCGTCTCTGTTTTGATATTTTTTCTTGTTATCGCTGGTGGGAAGTATAATATAATATATAAATCATCAATTATCATTATATATTTGATTTTGTTTCTATCATTAAAATACCTATCTGTGTATCATGCCAAAGACAGGAGACACACAGTATTAATAGGAATTCCAAAGCACCTTTATATATTTGAATTATCCTTATCTCAAATCTCAGAGAATAGCATTATGGTGCATCCAGTCATCATTGCACTATAATATCTAGGGCAAGTTTAACCTCTGCCTTCGAGGTAGTATCGTTTTCCATGCAGTGACTCCCTATTACAATTTCTTTGACAGTAATAAACTATATTCTTCTTCCTCATCCTTCGTCTTCTTCTTCTTCTACTATTTCATAGTAAATTCCATCCAAAAAGGTAGACCGAGAGGTGACACAAACCTAATAAATATGCCGTTAATATGTTCATATTGAAAGTAGAATCGAATTACCCCGATAGGCTTTTGTTTATCCACGTGTATTCACCGTCATCATCCAAGTCATTCAGGCCAATCCAGTAGTTCCATCCTCCATAATATTTCCGAGTAAACGTGTTCAGAAACGCCTTTCAAAATGGATGAACACGTAAGTGATTGAAATGGTCAGGCAAATAAACGTATTTTCATATACAATGACATTGAGTATAGCTGATCATGAGACACGTATACCATTAGGTAATTGCCTCATACTGTGCAACTCTTTGCTTTATGAAATGTG